TAAGTAGCACCATGGAGGAAACTTTCCTTGCGAATTGTGCCAAGGACCAAAGTTGGGCTCATCCTTCATTTTCCTTTGTGACATTAATCTCCACCTCAGATGTGTCAGCTCTCCGTGAGGAATTGCCAATATCTCCAGCCCTGGCCTTCAAACTATAGAAACTTCTGCTTCCTGCTGGTGCCTCCAGTTCAACGCATCCCGCAGCACTCATCAGCTTCCTCCCTGTCCCCGTCACGCCTACTTGCTTTTTTGTTCCCTGACACTCAGGGTTTCTATAACATGTAGAGGCAAAGAGTGTTATTTTACAGTTGTACAGTGATAAATATGGGTATCATCAGCACAGTAAGAATGTTCAGAATACAGAGCAGTGAGTGAGTCATTTTTTAAAATCAGCAATACAGGCTCAGTGCCTATAGCTCAAGCAGCTGAGGCACCAGCCACATACACCAGAGCTGGTGGGTTGGAATCCAGCCCAGGCCTGCTAAACAATGACAACTGCAACCAAGAAAAAATAAATAGTTGGGCGTTGTGGCGGGCACCGTAGTCCCAGCTACTTGGGAGGCTGAGGCAAGAGAATCGCTTAAGCCCAGAAGTTGGAGATTACTGTGAGCTGTGACACCACGGCACTCTACCCAGGATGAAACTTTGAGGCTCTATCTCTAAAAATAAATAAATTAATTAATTAATAAATAAAATCAGCAATATAGAAATTGATGGGATGACATTTGTGTTTGGAAAACCAAATGTTGTCCTTTAAAAATGTTGCTTGATAAGTCTGGTACAACATAAAAAGAATTCTGATGGGTTGGGAAGAATTATGTAATTTTTCAGTGATTTTTTTTGATAAATGAAATAACAATAGACAATAATAATAAACTTTTCTTAAGAGCCTTTTAGGTATCAGAAATGAATAGTGGGGCTTACATTCCAGAATTTTGCAAATTCTCTTGGATTTCATCCATCAGTTCATTGATTAAAAACAAACAAACAAAACTTTGGCCAGTGAAGTGGCAGTGGACGTTATCAGTGGGCAGAGAAGAAGAAAATCCTCAAGCATTTTCCTATTATTTATAAAATCATTTTATAGGCTTCATAGTTTTTAATTCAAGGACACCTTGAATTCCTTTGTAACCTTAGTTACAGTTTTACTGACAAAAGGAGATAGACTAATTCCAAATTATTCTATAAAATTCTGGCTACTTAGAAAATTAGAGCTGTCATAGTCTTATAATTTAAGAGTTAATTGGTGACAGAGTCCATGAAGAGGATGTTATTTTACCCAGTGATATCTATTTTCTTAAATACGTAGTATCACTGCCACTTTTGTATTTTCACACTCATCTCCCGAGTCACCTGAAGACTGCCTGAGTCAATTGTCAGTAGTTTAAACTTCACAAGTCTTTACAAAGTTCACCACTGACTCTCCAATTACTTTAAGACATAAAAACCATTGACAAAAATGTAATATCTAGATTGTGCTAAAAATGCACATATAGAATCTATGCAAGGAAAGTGGCAGAATGCTCAGAGCAAGGTGACCTGGGGCATTCAACAGTTTCATTGATTCATTCAACAGTTTGGGACTATACGGGTACTGCAGAATGTGCCCTCAGCTGCCTGAACTGAGATTGTCTAGGGACCAGCTTCTATGATAATTTTATCAATAAAAATAGCAGCCCTTTAATAAGTGATGTCAGTATTTCAGACATTTTACAGATGCTCACTCTGAGTGTGTCAGAGGTGCTGGGAGTTTAGCAGAGAACAAAGGACAATAATCCCTGTTCTTGTGTCATTTTTACACTGTAAAGCAAGAATGAAAAAAATAAACAATTGTGTGGATTACAGAGTGCACTAGAACAAGGGAGCGGGGGGGGGGGCAAGGAGTAGGGAGTTGTAGTTAAAATCAGGATTGTCAGGGAAGAACAGATGATGTTTGTGCAAAGACCCGGGGAGGACGAGGTAGAGAGGATTTCTGCGGGAAGGATGGCGCCAGGCAAGGAAGCTAGTGTCAGAGAAGGGCAGATAGAGATGAGCTATGAGAGGTCACAGGGACAGGTCCTGCAGTCTTGAAGGTTTTGCCAAGAGAGCTAGAGCAGTTGGAAGGTCTTGAACAGAGGACTGTTTATTTTTTGAGACAGAGTTTCAGACACCCTGAGTTGAGTGTCATAGCGTCATAGCTCACAGCAACCTCAGATTCTTAAGCTCAAGTGATTCTCTTGCCTCAGCCTCTCGAGTAGCTAGGACCACAGGTGCCCAACAAAACACCAGCTATGTTCAGAGATGGGGGCCTGTTCTTGCTCAAGCTAGTTTGGAACTCCTGAGCTCAGGCAATCCTCCCACCTTGGCCTCCCACAGTGCTAGGAGTACAGGCATGAGCCACTGCACCTGGCCTGATTGGAGTGTTTTAACCAGAGCACTTTGCTGGTGTGAAAATAGCCTGTAGGAGCTTGCTTTGTTTTGTTTTAGAGCAATGGGAAGTATGTGCTGGTTGAAGTTGCCCCTTCCTGAGATGGGGAAGAGGAGGCATGCAGATCTGGGTGAGCTGCTTTGACATATATGCCAGTCACCCAGGGGGAGGAGCCCTGTAGGCATCTCCCCCCACCGCTTCCCCTTCCATTGTGATCCTCCCGGCTCCAACCTGCACTGAGCTGCCCCACCGCCCTCCAGTAACTTCACTGGCCAAGACTTGCCCCCCTCCTCTTTAGGGGCTGCTGTCACTCCCAGTAAGGGGCATAACTGAATTCCTTGTCCTACTAGAGGCAGCCACTGCAATAATTACTCCACAGCGAGGATTCTCCAGCTGCAGCCTTTAGTTGGATGTGAAAGTGTGTGGCCAGGGGAAAGCTGGTGCTGGAGATGCAAACGTAGGGACCAACTTGAAGTTGTGTGCAAAGCCATCAGATCAGCACGAAAATGCATTTTAAAATAAATGTGTATAATTCTTAGCTCACAGGTGGTGGTTTTGTGAGGGAGTAAATTAAAAACATACATAAAACATCTGGAATACAGACAGCAGTCAATAAACGGTTGCTATTTTTATTAATACACTTATAGGAGCTGGTCCCTGGACAACATCCAGTTCAGACAGATGGGTGCACATGTTGCAGCAACCATACACCCCAATAAGAAGTTGAAGAAGTGGGCGGCGCCTGTGGCTCAGGGGGTGCGGCGCCGCCCTATATACAGAGGGTGGCAGGCTCAAACCTGGCCCTGGCCAAACTGCAATAAAAAAATAGCTGGGCCTTGTGGCGGGCGCCCAGCTACTCCGGAGGCTGAGGCAAGAGAACCGCCTATGCCCAAGAGCTGGGTTGTTGTGAGCGGTGCGACGCCATGGCACTCTACCAGAGGCGATGTAGCGAAACTCTGTCTCTAAAAAAAAAAAAAAAAAAAAGAAGTGGAGGAAGAGGCAATGACTGGATGGATGCTCTTGAGATACGTGCGTATTTGGCATCTATAGAAGAATGGGACCTCAGTCCATTTTATTCCATTTTATTTTAACTTCATGACAGGGTCTCTCTCTCTCTGCCGCTCAAGAGCAGCGGCATCATCACAGCTCACTGCAACCTCAACAGATTCTCCTGCCTCAGCCTCCTGAGTAGCTGGGTCTACAGGTGCATGTCCTGCTCATTTTCCTATTTTTAGTAGAGACTGGGTCGCGCTGTTGCTCAGGCTGGTCTCCAACTTCCGGCCTCAAGTGATCCTCCCGCCTGGGCCTCCCAGCGTCTGGCGTGAGCCACCGTGCCCAGCCAATCCTTCCGTGTCACAGGAGAGACAGTTGAGGCTCGGTGAAGCCCAGCGCAGCGAATCCCGGCCGGAGTTCCCACCAGGTCCGCGGTTTTTCCGCACTGCGCCCGGCGCCCTCCGTCCCAGGCCCGCGACCCTCACGGCCTCTCCCGCCTCTGAGCTCTGAGCAGCCGGTGGCCTCTCGCTGGCCGTGCCGCTGCTGAGTGTCAGTGGGGAGGGGGCGCGAGGTGCTGGCGGGAGACCACAGGGCCGTGGGGCAGGACCTGGTCGCGTGCTTGGTCTCTTCACTCGCGCGGGACACACAGGGAACGCTGCACCCTGCACCCCGGGCCGCAGGCGGCTCGGACAGTCTGGAACAGCGTGGAACACAGGCGCGCTGGAGTCCCCGCCCGGACAACGGGGCGGGGCCAGGAAAGTTGAGCCCTCGTCGCAAGGGGCCGGACTCTTGCCGGAGGGCAGCGGCAGGCACCGTAAAAGGCAGGGCGGGCGGGGTAGGTGTGGCTCTGCCTGTGACCTGAGTCCCCGCGTCGGTCCCCGTCGTCTCCAGCAGCCGTAGCCTCCCAGCCATGGGCGCCGTCTGGTCCGCCCTGCTGGTCGGAGGGGGTCTGGCAGGAGCGCTTTTCGTTTGGTTGCTGCGGGGCGACGCAGGGGGCTCGAGGAAGGACGGGGACGCGGAGCCGGAGGAGGACGCCCCTCCTGGGGAGGCTGCGGCTCCAGGAGGCGATCGGGGTGGAGGCGGTGGACGGAGCCCTGGACCTTCCGGGCAGGATCTAGTCACCAAACCAGGTATTCTCCCTCCCGGGTCTCGAAGGCACATCTGCCTGGGCTTTGAAGTTCAACGAGAAAGGGAGGAAAGAATCCGCCGGGCCTTCCTGCGCCCATCCCCGCAGACCGGCTCCCCCACCGCGGTTGGGACCTCCCCACGCGCCGGGTTCCCCGGGCCGGTGCGTGCGCACCAGTCGGTCTGTGTCCTCCCCGGAGTCCCGGAGATGCCTGGGCCGTTCTTCCCCGCGCCGCGCCCTGCGCCTCTGCCCTCCGCGCCCGGCGGCGAGGACACCCCTGCCCCTCCCGCAGGGTGGGGGCGGCGGCGCTTGGCGCAGTGCGGGCGGCGGGGTTGGCGGCGCCCCTTCTCAGGCCTTTGGAAAAGAGGCCTTGGTTAGGAGGAGCCCGCAGCCCTCTTCAGCCTCAGTCCCAATCCGGCCATGTCATGTCCTCCCCTCCCGCAGCTGGGAAGAGCAGGGTTTGGGAACACGGGAGCTGCGAGCTCCTCCGGCTCTCCAGACGCTTCTGTCAGGAAGACGAAGTTCTGGCTGGACTCCGGCCACGAAGGCCGTGGCTGACGCCCAGGGCTGAGCACTGACTGCCTTCCCGCGGCGCAGAGTGGTCCGATCCCTGCGAAAGGACTACTTAATAGGGGGACTTCGCAGTGGACCCAACTCAGTAGTATTTACATCGAGATTTAAATCCCATTTTGGGCCCGTCGCCAGGCAGAGAGCAAGCGCTGGCAGGAAAGCGTCCAGTGCCCTCCCTTGGCAAGCTGCCGGGCCTGGACTGGCCTCATGGTGAAAATGACATCTGTGAACTTTTAGTGGAGTGCTCACGTGTGGAAATGAAAATCTGCCCTGTGCCTTTCTTGTGATTGGTTTGTGATAAATACACAGTTAATTTATCTCCACACCTCCCCCCCACCAAAACCTGATGGGTGCGGACTGTGTGGTTTTGATCTTACAGGGAGCTAGCCGGACCACCAGTGAAGTGTGGCCAAGAAGGAAAACCCAGTCTTCAGGGGACTCGGATTGTGCGCTTTTGAGAACATATAGAACAAACCACCTGGCTTGGTGCCTGTAGCTTAGCAGCTAGGATGCCACCCACATACACGGAGCTGGGCCGAACAAAAATTACAACCAAAAAAAAAAAAAAGGCGAGCATTGTGGTGGACATCTGTGGTCCCAAGTACTTGGGAGGTTGAGACAAGAGAATTGCTTAGGCCCTAGAGTTTGAGGTTGCTGTGAGCTGTGATGCCACAGCACTCTACCGAGGGTGACATAGTTGGACTCTGTCTAAACAAACAAACAAAAAAACCCACCTGTGTTCAATGAGAGGGGATGCAAAAAGCCCTCTGTTTTGTTGAAGAGGTCCCTGATGAATTTGGGGTGGGCAAGGAGAGAACCATCCTGCCCACACCCTTTAGGGCAGCGCTTGCCCAGGGATGCACTGTCCTTGGTGCTCCTGCAGCAACAGCTCCTGCTGATCTGTCCACCATCTGTAAGAGCCAATCCCTGGCCGGCACGTTTCCTGGGAGTACAAGTGTACCCTTCTGGTTTGGAAGGCTGCCATGCTGCCCTTTGCCCCACAGGCTGGATTTTTTTTTTCTTTTGAGATTGGGTTTTGCTGTGTTGCCTGGGCTGGAGTGCAGTGGTGTCATCATAGCTGACTGCAACCTTGACCTGGGCCCAGGCAATTCTCCTGCCTCAATCTCCAGAGCAGCTGGGATCATAGACACACACCACCACACTGGTCTCATTTTTTGTAGAGGTGGGGTCTCACTATGTTGCCTAGGGTGGTTTTAAAACTCCTGGCCTCAAGCAGTCCTGCCTTGGCCTCTCCAAATGTTGGGAATATAGGTGTGAACCACTGCACCCAGCCTGGACAGTATTTTCTGATGACAAGAACCAAGCATCCCCACCTGTTTGTGTGCCAGCATAGCCTGGACTGTGGGAGACCAGGGACCACGACTTCAGGCTTTGCAACACTGATGCTTTGGATGTGCCTTTTATTATCAGATACACAAGTATATTCTTAAAACATGGTGTTGCGAACAGACTAATTAAGTAGAGCTTGATTTTAATAGACAGGAGACTTTGTAACTGCAGATGGATTAGTAGTAAAGCCTTCAATACTAAATCTGTCTTCTCAGAACAACTTCCCTTTCTCTTACATGAACTGCCTAACACTGTTACAATTTTCCTTTCATTTCTTAGAACATCTTCAAGAAAGCAATGGACGTTTGATTTCTGAGACCAAAGACCTGCTGGAGGAAGCCTGGAGATTACAGAATCCTTCCAGAGAAGTCTGTGACATGTCCAGAGAGCATGTTCCTTCTGGACAGTTTCCAGACACAACACCTCTAGCTACCTCTGAGAACAGTAACTCTAGGAGTTACCCTGAATCTTCAAGAAATGAAAACCTTGAATCTCGTATAGGAGAATGGGGATTCCCAAAAGGACAAGAGATGCCTGCTAAAGCAGCTACATGTTCTGCAGAGAAGTTGTCTCCTAGCAACTTGCTCGTGGACGGACATGAAGAAGCGAGCCTGGCACAGCTGGACAGGCAGGACCTGGCGAACCACGAGGACTGGGAAATGGTGTCTAGGCACTCATCTTGGGGTGACATTGGCTTGGGTGGCAGTCCTGAGACTTCAGTGTTAAGCCTAAACCAGGGAATGGACTATGGGAGAAGCACTGTTATGGATGCAAGAGGTCGGGAAGCGCGTGGGGAAGTGGAAAGAGTGGCAGGGTCTTCAAAGACTCAGCAAGTTAGCATCAGGTTCCAGGTCCATTATGTTACAAGCACTGACAGGCAGTTTATCGCAGTAACTGGAGACCACGAGAATCTTGGGAGATGGAACACTTACATCCCACTCCGTTACTGCAGGGATGGACTCTGGTCTCATTCTGTTGTCCTGCCAGCTGATACAGGGGTAGAGTGGAAGTTCATCTTGGTGGAGAATGGGGAAGTGACCCGCTGGGAAGAGTGTAGCAATAGGTTCCTGGAGACTGGCCGTGAGGACAAGGTGGTTCACGAGTGGTGGGGGGTTCCCTGCTCCAGTCTGCAAAGTCCTGGAGAGGCTGTGACAGAGGGCAAAGGTTATGGAGCACACAGAGGCATTTAAATTCAGCAATCAGAGTTGTTTTAAACCTGCTAGTGGCTTTTGTCTAACATCCAGAAACATATGTGTGTATATATGCAGGTAACAGTTCCAGTGAGCACGGGCTTCTTTCCCTGTGGCATGGATGGTGGGTTTATGCTGACCCATCACTACCTTAGGGCTGATTCTCTTGCGGAGTGACTGGCTAAGCTCCAGCCATAGGCCATGGCCAGGAGCATAGAAACTAACCAGGACATAGGGTTCAAGCTTGTGCCTTTAGGTGATGCTTAGACCAAGGTAGCAAAATAAGCCTCATTCAAAACAGCTTGTTTCCTCTCAGTACGGCTTCAGGAATGTTCTTTACTACATGCGTATTTTATATTTCAAAATTGTTAACACTATATGGAACTATGATCAGAAAGTACCTGGTCACTGGATGTAATTAGTAAGGATACCCCCAGTGCTGCGTGTCTTTGTTTGATTTTATCTGCCAGGTATGGTTTTGAAGAAAGCAAGTATGTCTTTGGCTTAATATTCTGAGGCTGTGTAGAAATGAGGGGCCACGGAAATCAGTCATAGAGCAGGCTGTGAGGAAAGGGAGCATGAACCGGAATAGGGTGTGGACTGAATGAGGTGGCCTCAGTGACATCTCTTAGAGGACAGGGAGACCCAGGCACGGCCTGACTGCAGGGAGGGCACACGCATCATTTGCCCACGCGAGCCTTGCAGGGCCATCTCTCTCCCACTGCCTGCCCTCTCCCGCAGGTCTGGACTGCCCCCTAGCAGTAGTCTCTGTCACCCTCTTTCCTCTCCTTTCATACCACTAGCCATCCTGGGTCACAAATGTATACTGGACAGTGATAAGAAGTGTATCTGTACTCTGAGAAGAAAAAATAAACATTTACACTTAAGTTATTATAAGTGACCTAATAATAAAACCTATTTTAATATCTTTCTGAAATGTCTGAATTATTTGCCTATATCTTATTATCACAATAGGTGAGAATTTAGGGTGTAAAATAAAATACTAATATTTTCCTCCACTAACTGACCATAGAGAAGAACAAACATCACACAGTTCAGAAGCAAACATACAAAGAGTCTGTTTTTCTCTTCCCTTTGGAGAAAAAGTTTAGAATATTTAACTATACCTTTGTTTGGGGGGGGAATTCAGCAGGCCTGTACTTGAAAATGAATTTTATGTTAAAATAACTTGTAACAAGTGTCTTACTACTGGCAAAGCAATGCTTAATCCCAGTAACAGATGATTATTGCTGAAAAGAACAAACCCAACTGAAGATAGCATTAGAAAGTGCTTAGAGAACTATGTCTGGGCCATGGCGCTTTTATGTTAAATGCCTATCTACTGCTTACACACTTCGTGATGAATTTTATTTTGCACCAGTGAAGGCTGCCAAAGGTATTTACAATTACTACACAGAAAGCCCAAGGTAAAGCAATTTAAATAAAAATCTCTTTAGAATTCTATCACTAGCCATTTTATTATTACTTTTTTTTAGAGACAGAGTCTCATTTTGTCACCCTCGGTAGAGTGCTGTAGCATCAGAGCTCACAGCAACCTCAAACTCCTGGGCTTAAGCAATTCTCTTGCCCCAGCCTCCCAAGTAGCTGGGACTAAAGGCGCCTGCCACAATGCCCAGCTATTTTTAGATACAGGGTCTTACTCTGGCTCAGGCTGGTCTTGAACCCATAAGCTCAGGCAATCCACCCACCTCGGCCTCTCAGAGTGCTAGGATTACAGGCGTGAGTCACTGTGCCTAGCCTAGCCATTTTATCATTACCTAATGAAATAAAAACTAATCTTTCAAGTAAAGCCAATTGACTTAATGATCTTTTTAATATAGAGTTAATATTTTATTTAAAATTGGATGTGCTACGTATTCAGCCAATTCGACTAGGTAAGTTCAAAAGATGTAAAGTCTCCATCTTTTTTGGAGACTTTCCATCTTTTGTACTTACCTCATTAAATATGGAGAACATTCTCCTAAGTAAAGTATCACAACAAAGGAAAAGCAAGTGCCAATGTATTCAGTACTAATAAAAAACAAACAGATGAACAACTACACTTTTTTTTTTTTTT